TCTTTGCTGAGATTGCTTTTTGGTGAGCATCCACATGGACACAAATATCTTCACATTTTCTAATCATGTTCTTTCCAAATTCCTGACCATCCAGCCAAACTATTAGCCACTATCCATCTGTAGATTTGTATGTCTGGTCATCTTCCATTCCAGATATAATAAACAACCAGGTATGCTGCTTGAGGTTCTGTCCCCTAGAAGGATTTATCTTCACCCCTGTCCTTCAGGGCCACCTGAGTGAGGCCAAAATTATAAATGGAATTCTTTTCTTTTTAATATGTTTTTATTGATTTTTTTAGAGAAAGAGGAAGGAATAGAGAGAGACAGACAGACAGAAACATTGATATGAAAGCGAAACATCAATCGGCTGCCTCCTACATGCCCCCTACTGGGGAATCAAGCCTGCAGCCTGGGCATATGCCCTGACCAGGAATCAAACCAGGACTCTTAGTCCATGGTGTGGCTTAATTCACTGAGCCAGACTGGCTGGGCTATATGGAATTCTTATAGGTCACACTTTGAACTTCATTTCTTGAGGCTTGCTAGGTCTTTTTTTTCCCAAATTATTTATATTTTTCTATTTCAGTTGACATACATTATTACATTAGTTTCAGGTATACACCCCAGTGATTAGATATTATATAACTTACTAAGTGATCATCCCAATAAATTTCCCACTCATTTGACAACATATGTAGTTATTAGAATATTATTGACTATCTTCCCTATGCTGTACTTTACATCCCCATGAATATTCTGTAACAGTCAATTCATACTTCTTAATCCCTTTATCTTTTCACCCATTCCACAACCTCCCTCCCATCTGACAACCAACAAAATGTTCTCTGTATCTATGAGTCTGTTTCTGTTCTGCTTGTTGGTTTACTTTGGTTTTTAGATTCAATTGTTGATAGATATGTATTTCTTGCCATTTTATTATTCACATTTTTTATCATTTTTTTTTTCTTCTTAAAGAAGACCCTTTAACATTTCATATAATAACATTTCATTTTTGGTGGCGATGAACTTCTTTAGCTTTTTCTTCTCTGGGGAACTCTTTATCTGTCCTTCAATTCTAAATGATAGCTTTTCTGGGTAGAATAATCTTGGTTGCAGGTCCTTGCTTTTCATCACTTTGAGTACTTCTTGCCACTCCCGTCTGGTCTGCACAGTTCCTGTTCAGAAATCAGCTGACAGTCTTATGGGAGCTCCCATGTAGACAACTAACTGCTTTTCTCTTGCTGCTTAAGATTCTCTTCTTGTCTTTAACCTTTTGCATTTTAATTATGATGTGTCTTGGTGTAGGCCTCTTTGGGTTCATCTTGTTTGGGACTCTCTGCACTTTCTGGACTTATTATGTCTATTTCCTTGATTAAGTTAGGGAAGTTTTCTGTCATTATTATTATTATTATTATTTTTTTTAATCCTCACCCGAGGATATTTTTCCACTTTTTTGTACAGATAGAGTGGGAGGGAGAGAGGGAGAGAAACATCGACGTGAAGGGACACATCGAGTGGCTGCCACCCGCACAACCAACCAGGGCCGGGGACAAACTGCAACTGAAGTACGTGCCCTTAGCGGGAACCGAACCCGGGTCTCTCCGGACCGCAGACCGACGCTCCAACCGCTGAGCCAAACCGGCCAGGGTTGTCATTATTTTTTCAAATAGGTTTTCAATTTCTTGCTCTCTCTCTTCTCCTTCTGGCATCTCATTATGTACGCTTCAAGTTGCCCCAGAGGCTCAATACACTATCATCATTTTTAAAATTCTTTTTCTTTTTGTTGTTCTGAATTTTTGCTTCCTTATGCAGTCATCCCTTGCCACTTTGTGCTTCCACAGTCACGGCTTCACTCTATCGTGTAGTATAGTATAGTATTTGAAAAAACCATGATAGAGTGAAGCCGCGAACATGGAAGCATGGAGTGGTGAGGGACAATTGTATAAATAAAGAATCCTACTTTGCAGAAATTCATTTATCACGGTAGATTCTGGAACTGATTAACCGTGATAAATGAGGGCCGTCTGTATTCCAAATCACTGATTTAATTCTCTGCTTCATCTACTCTGTTGATTCCCTATAAATTATTCTTCATTTCATTTAGTGTTCCTTATTTCTGACTGGTCCTTTTTTAGGTTGTTGAAGTTCTCACCTAAGTTTATTGAGCATCCTTTTAACCAGTATTTTGAACTCTGCATCTTGTAGATTGTTCCATTTTGTTTAGTTCTTTTTCTGGAATTTTGTTCTGTTCTTTCATTTGGGACATGTTTCTTTGTCTCTGCATTTTTGCAGCCTCTCTGTGTTTGTTTCTATGTATTAGGAAGAACTGCAATGTTTCCCAGGCTTGGTAGAGTGGCCTTGGTAATGTAGGAGGTGTTCTGTAGGGTCCAGTGACACAGCCTCCCAGTCACCCAGGCTGGGCACTCTTGGTGTGCCCCCTATGTAGGCTATGCACACCCTCCTCTTGTAGTTGATCCTTGATTGCTGTTAGCACATCAATGGGAGGGATTTACCCCTAGGGTGATCAGCTGCAAGGACTGGCTGTGACTACCAACCATTGTGGAGGATCAGCTGGGTAGGGGTCCACCCTACAGAACAGGATTTACTTCATCCGGGCTCTGGTGCCACAAAGTCTGCCCCTTGAATATGTTGCTTGTGGAGGTAGTTGAGTGGTGGTGCTTTGACATGGTCTAAAGCTTTCCACTGGGTGTGTTAGCTCTGGGGCCTTCTGGGAGGTGTAGGCCACCTCCACCTGTGTTCTCTCTGGGGCCACCCATCATGAGCTACAGAGCAATCTGCAGATAGCTGTTACTTGTGCTGGGCTTGGAGGCGCCCAGGCGAGGTCAACCTTCAAACAAAGGTTGGCTGCTGCTAGTGCCTGGCCTGGGGCCACTTAGCAAGAGGTACAGTACACGTGGAGGCCAGATACTGCTGGTTTGAGAGATTTTAGGAAAATCTGAAGCATGTGCCAAGACAGGCCATTCATGTGGAAAAGCCACTGGAAACAACTTGGATGGGCCTGAGAGTTGGGTGGCGCAGGACTTCAGGGAATCACCAGGGTGGAGCCAGGAGTCTCAGATATGGCACCTGCCTGCCTCCTCTGTGGGGGGTGGGGGTGGGGGTCTCAGAAAAGGAACAATGGCCTTCGCCAGCATTTTCATCAAGAAGAAAGTTGTTCCCACTCAGCTCTCACCCTGATGCTGGACAATTGAGTTCTTCCCGGTGTGACTCTGGCGCCTTTCAAGATGCTGCCCCAGTGCTGGAATTCAGAGGGAGTGAGTCTGAGTAAGTCTCTGTGTGTGGGCCCTTTAAGAGGAACTGGTGGGACTCTAGGAGTCTCCATCTCACTCAGCCTCAATCCATGCTGGTTTTTACAGCAGAAGTTATGGGGACTTCTCTTCCTGGCTCTGGAACCCTGAACTGGGGGACCTGGTGTGGGATTGGGACTCCTCGCTCCTCAGGGAAGACTTTTGATATCCCTCCTGATTTTTATATTCCACATGTGGGTGTGGGATCAGCCCATTCTGCATCTTCACCCCTCCTACCAGTCTTGATATGGCTTCTTCTTTAAATCCTTAGTTGTAGGAATTCCATTCAGCCAGATTTCAGGTGGTTCTGAATGATGGTTGTTCTATATTTTAGTTGTAATTTTCATGTGGTTGTTGGAGGAGGTGAGTACTGAATTTACCTACTCTGCCATCTTGCTGGGAAGTCTGAGGCCTGCTAGGTCTTGACTTTGACCAGTATAATGCAGAATAACTGATGCTAGATGACTTACAAGACAAGGCCTTAAGAAGATTTGCAACTTCTACTTTTTCTGTCTTTCGTACTTTGAAACCTCTATGCTGTGAAGAAACTCAAACTGAAATTCTATGTGGAGAGAGAGTTCCAGCCATTTCAGCCATTCCAGGCTGAAGACCCAGATATATATGTGAGGCCATAGATCACCCAGCTCCAGCTGACCTGGCAGCTGACTACAGTCACATATACTAGACCACCAGACGTTTCTTGTTGACCCACAGAAAGTAGTTATTGTTTTAGTCACTAAGTTTTGGGGTGGTTTGATATAGTAATCTACATATTTAGAAGATACTATCCAGATTTTAAACCATAATTTTTTTTATACTTTTGGGTTTTACTTAAAGGAAGTTATGTCTTCCTTGCATAAAGAATATTATCTGTGTTGATTGTGACTGTACAATATTCCATAGGCAATTACAATGGGGCTTTAAATTGTCATATTGGTGCTATGGATTACTTCAATTTGAATTTATGTGATTTGACTTAACATAAGCAAACTAAGAGGGGAGCAGTTCACCAAGAGTTATTGAGGGTTTTTGATGGGATAGGGTATGAAGAGAGCACTACCAAAGAAATAATTTTCTAAGATTGAAGAATTTTTAGAAGTTGTTTGACTAAATTTGTGCTAACATGAAAAGTAGGTAGGTTTGTAAATCAGTGGAATTACTTACAGAAATGAAGAGGATTCTGTAATGATAATAATATATTTATTGAGTGCTTTATTGTGCCAAAAGTTGTTCTAAGTGCTTTACAAATATTAACACATTTATTTTTCACCATACCTGTAGGAGATAGCTACTATAATTCCCATATTTTAGATAAGAAGCTGAACAGAGAAGTTAAGCAGCATGTCTAGGGTCACACAGCTAACAAGTACTAACAGTTGAACCCAGACAATATTATGCCATAGTCAATGTTTTTAATCACTGTATTATGTCTTTCTCCTAGATTACTCTGGAGTATACAGAAGTGACCCAACCTAAGTTCTAGATATTCTATTTATAGTTAGTAGTGATACAGTTACAAACTTAAGGTTAAAACTCATTGTGAGAATAATACCAACATTGCCTGGCTTGTCAAAGGAAACCCAAGTGGATAATATATCTAAAATCTAGTTTACATATAAAAAAATCTATCTTATGGTTTCTACTCATTTTGCCCAGTTTTGACCATAAAATTTTATGTGTTTGAACCTTTAGAATGTCACTGTATTTCAACACTTTAAAAACCTGATTAATATAAGAAGACAAGGGGAACCACGTCAGATAGTAAGATATATTAATCCTAAAGAGGTAAGGACGTTATTTATTGATACAGCATCTTTTTCCCCTTAAAATTATGTGGCTACTTTATAAATTCAATGTGATTGTATTTGTTCTTTTAAAAAACTTTTTATTGAAGTATTACACACATGAAAAATAGATTATACGTAAACGAACAACTCAGTGAGTAACATAACACACAAACCACTATGTAACCATCACTCAGTGTTTCCATACTCAAACCACTGCCTCAGGTGCTCTGCAAATCACTGCCAACTTCCTTCTTCCAAAAGAATAGTAACCGTTATTTTGAATTCTAGCATTATACCTTAGTTTTCTCTGTTTTTAAACTATATATAAATAGAATCCTATAGTATACTTTTGTATCTGGCTTTGTTCATTCAATATTATCTTTGTGTAACTAAATTTCATTCACTTTATTAAAAATAATGGAAGTACTCCATTTTAATAATATATTGTTTTTGTTCTATAGTTGATTGACATTTGGATTTTTTTCCAAATTGAGACTATTATAAAGACTGCTTCTAAAAATATTCTTATTTGTATCTCCTGGTGCACATGTGCATGGATTACTTTTGGTTTCTACTCCACCTAGAAATGGAATTGCTGGGTGACAGGATATGCCAAACTATTTTCCAAAGTTGTTGTACTAATTTATATTCACCATCAGGAATCTTTTGGAATTCTTGGTGCTCTACATCCTCACTAGCACTTAATATTGTCAGTTTTTAAATTTGCATTTCTCTGATTACTAATTAAGTTGAGCATCTTTTTGAGGAGTTCAGCTCCTGGTTAAAATCCTATATGATTTTTTAGTCCTGATCACAGGCAATTACAAAGGCATTACCTGACAGGCCTCTCAGGGGAAAGCTACCCCTTCTCCATACCAGACTTAGTGCACAGCCAGTCACTGCACTACAGCCTCTGAAGGGACTTGTACTCAAGCACTAAGACCCCCTGGCCCAGCCTGCTTTTAGGCATAATGTTTTCATTGCCACCTAAGCGTCTTCATTCCTGTCTCTTTATTTCAAGCCTTGGGCAGATGTCTTCTGGCACCTCTGCTGAGACCTTATGGGGGAAATCTTGAAGACACTTTTCCCACTCTGACTCAGTCCCCTTCTCCCTGAGTGAGCCCCACTCCACCCCTAACCCCACACACATACACACCTCAGGGTCCATCAAACTGCCAGCACCTTTTGTTTTGGACTCCCTCAACAGTGAAAGGAGACCCATACCTGTGGTAATCCAGTGGTGTGCAGTTCCAATAGGGGTAAACGGAACAAGTGGAGTTGTAGCTTCTTTCCGTTTTAGACACTTGAACTCTTTTTTTTTGTTTGTTTGTTAATCCTCACCCAAGGATATTTTTCCCATTAATTTTTAGAGACAGTGGAAGAAGAGAGTGAGGGATGGGGGAGAGAGAGAAAGAGAGAGAGAAAAACATTAGTGTGAGAGAGACCCATCAATTGATTGCCTCCACATGTGCTCCAACTGGGGCAAGAACTGAACCTGCAATCCAGGTACGTGTCTTTGACCAGGAATCAAACCTATGACCCTTCGGTGCTCGGGCCAGTGCTCTAACCACTGAGCAACACTGGCCAGGGTTACACTTTAACTCTTGCTTATACTATTGTGGTAAATAATTAAAAGCTTTCTTTTCCACTATGTCCACTATGGCTTAGTTGGTTTGAGCGTGGTCCAGTACACTGAAAGGTTTCAGGTTCGATTCCCAGTCAGGGCACATACTTAAGTTTTGGATTGGATGTCTCCCAGTCCAAGCTGGTCTGGTTAGGGCACATGTGGGAGACAACAGATAGATGTCTCTCTCTCTCTCTCTCTCTCTCTCTCTCTCTCTCTCTCTCTCTCTCTCTCTCTCTCTCCCACACACACACACACTTCCCCTGTCTCCAGAAATCAATGAACATATCATCAGGTGAAGATTTTTAAAAAACTTGCCCTTTAGGTGTGTTTCTTTAATTGAATACTCTGTCACCCTACAGCTCATCTATCTTTTTCTAAGATCAGCAGAACTCCTGACAATTTTTTTTCACATCTTTTTTGTTGTTATTAATCCTCATCTGAGGATATTTTTTCCACTGATTTTTAGAGAGAGCAGAAGGGAGAGAAATAGGGGAAGAGAGAGAAACATTGATGTGAGAAAGACACATCGATTTGTTGCCTCACACACATGCCTCAATCAGGACCAGAGATTGAACCTGCAACCCAGGTACATGCCCTTGACTGGGAATTGAACCTGAGACCCTTTGGTGCAGGGGCCGACACTCTAACCACTTGCCGGGGCTTTTCATGTCTTTTATTATTCTATTATTTTATATGTATTATTATCTCTCGTATTCTTATTGGTTCGAAATAGGTTTTTTTTCTTATTTATTTTTGTTACAGATGTTTCTCCTTTTTCCCCCATTGACACCCTCCTCCCGATCCAGACCCCCCTCCTCCAGCATTGTTGTCTATGTCCATTGGTTAAGCATACATGCATATAAGTTCTGTGGTTTATCTCTTTCCTCCCCCTCATGCCCCTCTGCGGAGGTTTGTCAGTCTGTACCCTACTTCTATGTCTCTGGGTCTATTTTGTTCATCAGCTTGTATTGTTCATTATATTCCACAATTAAGTGAGATCATGTGATATTTGTCTTTCTCTGATTGGTTTATTTTACTTAGCATTATACTCTCCAGGACCCTCCATGTCATCTCAAAGGATAAGAGATTTTTCTTTCTTTTTTTATTTATTTATTTTTCTTTATTGATTTTAGAGAGAAAGGAAGGGAGAAGAGAGGGAGAGAGAGATAGAAACATCGATGAGAGAGAACATCGATTGACCGCCTCCTGCACTGCATGGCCCCCACTGGGGATTTGTCCCAAACCTGGGCATGTGCCCTGACTGGGAATTGAACCAGCGACCTTTTGGTGCATGGGTCAATGCTCAACCATTGAGCCACACTGGCTGGGTAAGATCTTTCTTTCTTACAGCTGCATAGTATTCCATTTTGTTTAGGTACCACAGCTTTTTTATCCACTCATCTATTGATGGACACTTGGGCTGTTTCCATATCTTAGCAATTGTAAATAGTGCTGCTATGAACATAGGGGCACATATATTCTTTCTGATTGATGTTTCAGACTTCTTAGGATATATTCCAATGACAGTTCAGTTCTTAATTTTTTGAGGAAACACCATATTGTTATCCATAGTGGCTGCACCAGAATGCATTCCCACCAACAGTGTACTAGAGTCCCCTTTTCTCCACACCCTCACCAGCACTTGTTGTTTGATGATTTGTTGGTGTCAGCCATTCTGGCAGGTGTGAGGTGATATCTTATAGTTGTTTTAATTTGTATCTCTCTGATGATTAGTGACGTTGAGCATTTCTTCACATGTCTCTTGGCCATTTGTATGTCATGTTTGGAGAGATGTCTATTTAGGTCCTCTGCCCATTTTTTTTTTTTTTTAATCCTTACCCGAGGATATTTTTCCATTTATTTTCAGTCAGAGTGGGAGGGAGAGATAGAGAGAGAGAAACATGGATGTGAGAGAGACACATCGATTTGTTGCTTCCCACACAACCCCAACCAGGGCCGGGACCGAACTACAATGGAGTTACATGCCCTTGAGCAGAATTGAACCCATGACTTTGGTCCATGGGCCAATGCTCTAACCACTGAGCAAAAACAGCCAGGGCCCTCTGCCCATTTTTAATTGGATTCTTTGTCTTCCTTTTGTTGAGTTATATGAGTACTCTATATATTTTGGAAATTAGTGCCTATTCAGATGTATCGTTGGCAGTTATGCTCTCCTATATAGTGGGTTCCCTTTTCATTTTGATGCTTGTTTCTTTTGCTGTGCAAAAGCTTTTTAGTTTGATGTAGTTCCATGTATTAATTTTTTCCTCTGTTTCTCTTGCATTAGGCACTATATCGGTGAAAATTGTGCTGAATGTGATGTTTAAAATTTTGTTGCCTACATTTTATTCTAGGATTTTTATGGAATCATGAGTCACATTAGTCTTTTATCCATTTTGCATTTATTGTTGTGTATGGTGTAAGTTGGTGGTCTAGCTTCATATTTTTGCATATGGATGTCCAATTTTTTCAACACTATTTATTAAAGAGGCTGTCTTTATTCCATTCTATGCTCTTGCACCTTTGTCAAATATTAATTGAGCATAATGTCTTGAGTCAATTTCCGGGTTCTCTATTCTGTTCCATTGATCTATATGCCTGTTCTTGTGCCAGTGCTAGGCTGTTTTGATTACAATGGCTTTGTAGTATAACCTGATATCTGGTATTGTGATCCCTCCTACTTTGTTCTTTTTTTTTTCAAGATTGCTGTGGCTGTTCGGGTCTTTTTTGGTTTCATATAAACTTTTGGAGTATTTGGTCTAGTTCCGTGAAATATGTTGTTGGTATTTTATTTATTTATTTTTATTTTATTTTTTAAAATTATTTTATTTTTATTTTTTTATCTTTATTGTTGAATGTATTACAGATGTTCCTCATTTTTCCCCCATTGACCCCCTCCGCCCCACTCCTACCCCTCCTCACTCCCACTCCCCTCCCGCCTTTTCCCACACTGTTGTCTATGTCCATTGGTTATGCATATAAGTTTTTTGGTTTATCTCTTCCCACCCTCAAACCCCCTTCTCTTTGAGGTTTGTCAGTCTAGCAACCAATTTGTTCTTCTTAATCCCTTCACCTTTTTCACTCATTCCCCCAACACCCCTCCATCTGGCAACCAACAAAATGTTCTCTGTATCTATGAGAATGTTTCTGTTCTGCCTATTCATTTGTAGATTCCATTGCCGATAGATATGTATTCATTGCCATTTTGTTTGTTCATATATTTTATCTTTTTCTTCAGAAAGATTAAAAAAAGACCCTTCAACATTTCATATAATAACGGTTTGGTGGTGATGAACTCCTTTAGCTTTTCCTTGTCTGGGAAACTCTTTATATGGCCATTGATTCTAAATGACAGATTTGCAGGATAGAGTAATCTTGGTTGTAGGTTCTTGCTTTTCATCACTGTGAATATTTCTTGCCACTCCCTTCTGGCCTGCAAAGTTTCTTTTGAGAAATCAGCTGACAGCCTTATGGGAACTCCATTGTAAGTGACTAACTGCTTTTCTCTTGTTGCTTTTAAGATTCTCTCTTTGGGCCAGTGCCGGGAGTGCGAGCGGGAGGAGAGGAGGTGAGGGAGGAGGCCAGAGAGGCAGTTTGAAGATGGCAGAGGAGGGGTCGCTCACCCTTCAGCCCCTCGGCTCCCCTTCAGCAGTGGTGGCGGAGAGGGAGGCCTCGTTGCCGCCCACTGGGGAGCCGCTGTGCAAGAGGCCGCGGAGAGATGGCCCCAGCCTCCGGAGGAGCCGGGGAGCCTGATGGGGCGGCCCCTGAGCGTGAGATGCAGGTGGTGGCCGGAGGCTGTGCGGCGGCAGCGGGAGGGGAGCAGGAGGCCCAAGTGACGGCAGGCGGAGTATGGGCCGGGCCTACAGGGCCTATCCTTGGACCCGCGACCGGCCGATGACTTCGACGACAACGACGACGAAGAGGGCGAGGAGGAGGAAGAGGCGGCGGCGGCGGGGATTGGGTACCGAGATAACCTTCTGTTTGGTGATGAAATAATCACCAATGGTTTTCATTCCTGTGAAAGTGATGAGGATGATAGAGCCTCACATGCAAGCTCTAGTGACTGGACTCCAAGGCCACGGATAGGTCCATATGCTTTTGTTCAGCAACATCTCATGATTGGCACAGATCCTCAAACAATTCTTAAAGATTTACTGCCAGAAACAATTGCTCCACCTGAATTGGATGACATGACTCTGTGGCAGATTGTTATTAATATCCTTTCAGAACCACCAAAAAGGAAAAAAAGAAAAGATATTAACACAATTGAAGATGCTATGACATTACTGCAGGAATGCAAAAAAATAATAGTTCTAACTGGAGTTGGGGTTTCTGTTTCTTGTGGAATACCTGACTTCAGGTCAAGAGATGGTATTTATGCCCGCCTTGCAGTAGACTTCCCAGACCTTCCAGATCCTCAAGCAATGTTTGATATTGAATATTTCAGAAAAGATCCAAGACCATTCTTCAAGTTTGCAAAGGAAATATATCCTGGACAATTCCAACCATCTCTCTGTCACAAATTCATATTATTGTCAGATAAGGAAGGAAAACTACTTTGAAACTATACTCAGAACATATATACACTGGAACAGGTTGCAGGAATCCAAAGGATAATTCAGTGCCATGGTTCCTTTGCAACAGCGTCTTGCTTGATTTGTAAATACAAAGTTGACTGTGAAGCTGTACGAGGAGATATTTTTAATCAGGTGGTTCCTCGATGTCCTAGGTGCCCAGCTGATGAACCACTTGCTATTATGAAACCAGAAATTGTCTTTTTTGGTGAATATTTACCAGAACAGTTTCATAGAGCCATGAAGTATGACAAAGATGAAGTTGATCTCCTCATTGTTATTGGGTCTTCCCCAAAAGTAAGACCAGTAGCACTAATTCCAAGTTCCATACCCCATGAAGTGCCTCAGATATTAATTAATAGGGAACCTTTGCCTCATCTGCATTTTGATGTGGAGCTTCTTGGATACTGTGATGTCATAATTAATGAACTGTGTCATAGGTTAGGTGGTGAATATGCCAAACTTTGCTGCAACCCTGTAAAGCTTTCAGAAATTACTGAAAAACCTCCACGTACACAAAAAGAGTCAGCTCATTTGTCAGAGTTGCCACACACCCCTCTTAATATTTCAGAAGGCTCAAGTTCACCAGAAAGAACTTCACCACCAGATTCTTCAGTGATTATTACACTTTTAGACCATGCAACAAAGAGTAACGATGATCCAGATGTGTCTGAATCAAAAGATTGTATGGAAGAAAAATCACAGGCAGTACAGACTTCTACTAGGAGCACTGAAAGTGTTACTGAACAGTTGGAGAGTCCGGATTTGAAGAACATTGGCTCCAATACTGGGGAGAAAAATGAAAGAGAAACAGTGAGAAAGTGCTGGCCAGCCAAGCTCGCAAAGGAGCAGATTAATAAACGGCTTGATGGTAATCAATCTCTGTTTTTACCACCAAATCATTATATTTTCCATGGTGCTGAGGTATATTCAGCCTCTGAAGATGATGTCTTATCTGATGCTGATATTAATGAGAGAGCTGGAGGAACTGAATTTGGAGCTGATGGAGGTGGTCAAGAGGTAGTTAATGAAACTATATCTCTGAAACAGGAAACAACAGACATTAACCATCCATCAAACAGATCATAATGTAATTATTGTCCAGGTACAGGAATTGTTCCACCAGCGTTAGGAACTTTAGCATGTCAAAATGAATGTTTACTTGTGAACATGATAGAACAAAGGAAACCAGAAAGATGTAATATTTATAGACTGGTGAAATAGATTTTTTCCCCCCATGGGTAATTTTAACCTCTTTATTTATGTACTTGCACACGCAACACTTTTTTTTTTTTTGGTGGTATGTGCCCCTAGCAGGAACCAAACCTGGGACTCTCTGGTCTGCAGGCCGATGCTCAACCGCTGAGCCAAACTGGCCAGGGCAACACTTTTTTTTTTTTTTTTTAAAGAAAGGTACTAAGTATCTTTAATCTGCTCTTGGTCAAGATTTTCTTTAAAAGGTTCATTTGTATGATACATCCATATGTATACATAATTTTTGTTTATACATTTTGCCTAGTGAGTTTCAACATTTTAAAGTTTTCAAAAAGCCATTGGAATGTTAATGTAAAGGGAACAGCTTATCTAGACCAAAGAATGGTATTTTCATTTTCATTCAATTTCTTTGTAACATTGAATGGTTTGAAATCCTCAAATCTCTGTTCTGCTAAACTTTTGATTATTAGCACAATTACCTATTTTTAAACACTGGCATTTTCCAAAACTTGTGGCAGCTAACTTTTTAAAAATCTCATGACATGCAGTGTGAGTAGGTTAACAATATGTGGGATAGCACTCGGTTGTCTTTGCTTTTTATTTTTTTATCCTTACCTGAGGATATTTTTCCATTTTTTTTGTACAGATAGAGTGGGAGGGAGAGAGAGGAAGGGAGAGAGAGAGAGAAACATCGACGTGAAGGGACACATCGAGTGGCTGCCACCCGCATGACCAACCAGGGCCGGGGACAAACTGCAACCGAAGTACGTGCCCTTAGCGGGAACCGAACCCGGGTCTCTCCGGACCGCAGGCCGACGCTCTAACCGCTGAGCCAAACTGGCCAGAGCTGTCTTTGCTTTTTAAAGTAAGACTTGGTGCTAAGAGTTTCGGGAATATTGTATTGTTCAAATGAAAATGGCTTTTGTACTTCCTGTGGACATGTAGAAATGTCTATATTGGCTCATAAAACTAACCTGTAAAACAAATAAATGCTTTGGAAATGTTTCAATTGCTTTAGAAACAATAATGCCTGCCTGGATCCCCCTTAGTTTTGAGAATATTTGCCATTGTTGTTTAAATACCTATCACTGTGGTAGAGCTTACATTGATCCTTTCTCACAAGTATTAAACTGCTAAGATGTGAATATGCAAAAGCCTTTATGATCTATAATAATGGTACTTTGTGGAGAGTGTAATATTATGGACTGTTGCTTTTCATTTCCACAGATGAGAGTGACAGGTCCCTGATTACGGTTCCAAAGTAATAAAATATTAATTATATATAACTCAGCCAGTAAGTACATGTCTCCTGTTGGGAGTATTTGGTGTAATAAACACCAAACTGCTAGCCTAGTACTATGGAGATGAACATGATGTAACTTATAATAGCAGAATAATTAATGAAATGAATCCCTATTGTGTCTTTATTTAAGAGCTTAGCCTGCCTTAAAACTAGAGATCAACTTTCTTAGCTGCAGAAGCTTCTAGCCTTTCAAAAAAGTTCACACTTTTTAAAATTGCACACAAGACATTTATTTTCCAGACTTTTTGCAACATTACTCCCAAATTATTAAGTATTCTTATGTTACTTTGGTATTTATTCATTTTTTTAAAAGGGTTTGAAATACAGCTGTTCTTTAAGCATAAAAAACCCAGCTAGGACCATTACTGCCAGAGAAAAAAATTTTTGAATGGCCACTTCCCTACCTAAAGATGTCTCAATCTCAATCTATTTGGATATACTAAAGAATGCAGTATATTTAGTTTTTCATTTGCATGATGTGTTTGTGCTACAGATGATATTTTAAATGGAAAATTTTGTTTTAAATTATTTTTACAGTGAAGACTGTTTTCAGCTCTTTTTATATTGTACATAGTCTTTTATGTAATCTACTGGCATATGTTTTGTAGACTGTTTGATGACTGGATATCTTCCTCCAACTTTTGAAATACAAAACCAGTGTTTTATACTTGTATACTGTTTTAAAGTCTATTAAAATTGTCATTTGACCTTTAAAAAAAAAATTCTCTCTTTGTCTTGAATCTTTTGCATTTTGATGATGATGTGTCTTGGTGTGGGCCTCTTGGGGTTCATCTTGTTTGGGACTCTCTGTGCTTCCTGGACTTGTATGTCTGTTTCCTTCACCAAGTTAGGGAAGTTTTCTGCAATTATTGTTTCAAATAGGTTTTCGACTACTTGCTCTCTTTCTCCTCTTTCTGGCACCCACAAGATGCAAATGTTGGCACACTTAAAGTTGTCCCAGAGGCTCCTTACACTAAACTCACTTTTTTGGATTCTGTTTTTTTTTTTGTTTGTTTGTTTTTTTGCTGTTCTGATTGGGTGTTTTTTGTTTCCTTGTATTCCAAATCAATTGTTTGCTTCTTGGCTTTACCTACTCTACTATTGAATCTGTGTAAATTATTCTTTATTTCAGTTAGTACCTCCTTTATTTCTGACTGTGCCTCCTCATTTCTGACCGGTCTTTTTTTATGCTCTTGAGGCCCTCACTAAGTTCACTGAGTATCCTTATAAGCAGTATTTTGAACTCAGCATCTGTTAGGTTGCTTATCTCCATTTTGCTTAGTTCTTTTCCTGGAGTTTTGTTCTGTTCTGTCATTTGGGACCTGTTTCTTTGTCTCCTCATTTAGGCTTCCTCCCTGTGTTTGTTTCTATGTATTACTTAACGGGCGGTATGGGGCTAGCTGAGACCAGATGCTGCTCATTTGAAAGAATTTAGGAAAACCTGAAGCAGGATCCAAGATGGGCCAATTCTGTGGTTAAGGATCAGGCAACAGCTTGGGTGGGCCTGAAAGTTGGGTGGGGCAGGGCCTCAGGGAATCACCAGGGCGGGGCAACCAGTGTGAGCCAGGTTGCTGGAGTCCCAGATGTGGTAGCTGTCTGCCGCCCCAGGGAAGGGCTCACCAAAGGAACAAAGGCCTCTGACAGCACGTTCGTCCTGGAGAAAGCCCCCTCTCCAGCCCTCTCTCCAATGCCAAACAGCTCAGTTCTTCCCTGTATGTCTCCGGGGCCCCTCGAGCTGTCTCCCCTCCAAGCCTAGAGGGAGCAAGTCCCAGTAAGTCCATGCGTGGGCCCGTTAAGAGGAGCTGCCTGGGGCTCCAGCCACCACAGACTCCCTGAGCTTCAGTTTCCGCTGGTTTTTCCAGCCAGAAGTTATGAGGACTTCTCTTCCTGGCACTGGAACCCTGAGTGGGATGCCTGGTGTGGGACGGGGACCCCTTAGTCCTCAGGGAAGACCTTCCCAGCTGAGGTGTCCTACTGATTTTTATCCGCCACACGTGGGTATGGGACCAGCCCGTCTGCCTCTGCCCTTCCTACCAGTCTTGATGCAGCTGCTGCTTTAATTCCGTAGTTGTAGGACTTCCATTCAGCTGGATTTCAGACGGTTTTGAATGATGGTTGTTTTGTAGTTTAGTTGTAACTTTTATGTTGTTGGTATTTTAATGGGGATTGCATTGAATCTATAGATTGCTTTGGGTAGTATGGACATTTTATATTATTTTATTTTTCAAATTGTACATTTTAATTTACAATTTTTACCAATAAAAATGATTAGTTACAAAAAGGGTATTTGTCTACACAAAAATAATTTTTTTTTTATTCATAAAGAGAATCCACTGTCGTGTCTTGACTTGCCAAATCGAATCTCAGATAGCTTGCTTAGCTAAAATTATTCCCAAGAGGCAGGTAATACAGACAAAATTAATAAAATTATCAGCTCCTAAACATGTTAAAGAAGAATTTCATGAACATTTTGACTTGACCTAAAGAATTCTGTAACCTTTAATAAAACCTTTACTCTTTGGTAGTTGAGTTGCTAAGAGGGTGGATGAGACACCCCAGCTCACTTACCATGAGAATCTTCTTCCAGTGAGTATCATGCCTGTACATGGGGCACAAGCAACATAGCAAGAAAATGGCTTCCAGATTTTTTATTTATTTATTTATTTATTTAATCCTCACCCGAGGACATTTTTCCATTTTTTGTTCAGGTAGAGTGGGAGGGAGAGAGAGGAACAGAGAGAGAGAGAGAAACATCGATGTGAAAGGAACACATCGAGTGGCTGCCACCCGCACAACCGACCAGGGCCGGGGACAAACTGCAGCCGAGGTACGCGCCCTTAGCGGGAACCGAACCCGGGCCTCTCAGGACCGCAGGCCAACGCTCTAACCGCTGAGCCAAACCGGCCAGGGCAGAAAATGGCTTCCAGATTTTACAAGTGCATTTTATTGTGGCCACAGGTCAGCAGCAGAACATATGGCAGTTAAGGTTCAGATTCTCACACCTTCTATTTTACCATATAAATTAAATGTGGAGAAATACACACAAACAAACTTGATTAAAAAGGAGAAGCTGTTTTCAGATTCCCACTTCCTAAAATAACACACATTATGGTTTAGAGCAGGGCAAAGAACAGTCATCCTGTTAGTACACAACATTTCCAGAAAAGAAACCTGATCAAAATGTTCAAAGTCTTTTTAGTTGACTAAAGTGTGGCAGCCACTCAACACTACTCCTACCAGTCTGCTTTTGGAATAAAAACATCAACTAAGAAACTGTGTGGAACACCATAGCCTTCAAAAAACTTTATTCAGTGACAAGCCTAAGTCTGATGGAAAAGCCCACCTATGAAAAGGAGCTGTGGTACTTACATTGGCCTGATGTACATTTGTGACTCAAAAATGATAAACATCCTCAATTACAATGATTCTAAAGCCATTACAACCCAAGATTATGTGATTCACTTAGATTTGGTTGGATTAGCTTAAAATATGATCATACGGAGGATCTACACAATAAACTCAAGTATGTGGCCATTAAAGGAGGAAGGGAGGTCAAAAAATGACAATTTAA